ATTCAGACATTTTATGAGATGTGTATGTTTGCTATGTTCTTGGAACACAGCAATTTGCTTTACAGCTAGGAAGTTAATACATGAATACACTGCAAAGGCAACTGCTTGCTCTTATTTCAACTGGGAAATGAAAATGTAATGAAACAGAATTCCATTTTGATAGCATTGATTACTCTGTAGGCAGTTTAACTTTTCAAAACCAGTTTTATAACGTTCACATCTGGTTCTACGTCAAAGAGACAGATTTAACATGCATTATGTTTTGTTAGTAATCTCTCAAGTGACTTGAATACACTAACCACTGTTGCAGCAATAAGTAATACCGAGTGATGCGCTGTTAAGTCCTGAGTGCAACATAAAGTAAAAGCCCATTTATTTTAGCATTAAAAAAAATATTTATGTCCTGTAATGGTATTTTGGACTAGCTGAATTCTAGGTGTACTTTTATATAATGTGATGCTGAAGAAGCACAAATGCTGAACATCTGAAACATACGCATTTCTTTGTGGAAGCTCCAGATTATTGTTCTTTAAATCATTCTTCATGAAAGCCTATATTACCCTAAATACATTGCAAGCTTTAAAAAGGAGATATCAAAACACAGGCTGTCATTTGCAGTGATATATAAGGAGTAATAATATAGCAGGTCTTTTCTCTTTTTGATTTCTGACACATTTTCTGTTAGGAGCAACAACGTTGATGGGTGTAAATTAGCATACAGTACTTACAATACCTACTTACTTTTAGGTACCTAAGCAGTCATCAGCTCTTAAATAAAGATAAAACTATTAAGTATTAAGTTATTTGAGATTATCTTTTGGTTTCCTGAACCATAAGTGTGGCTGCAGGACAAGGATATCTCTAATATTCTGTATTTGGTTTGAGTGGGAAGATTGCCAGCCAGCTCAAAGATGGACCCATTGCTGGCCACGGCCAAGCCAGTCAGAGATGGTAGTAACATCTCTCTGATAACACATATAAGAAGGAAAAAAAAGTTATTGCAGAGAAATATTTGTGGCCAGAGAAGAGAGGCATGAGAATATGTGAGAGAAACAGCTCTGCAGCACCAAGGTCAGTGCAGAAGGAGGGGCAGGAGGTGCTCCCTCCTCCAGAGCTGAGATTCCTCTGCAGCCTGTGGTGAAGACTGTGGGGAAGCAGGCTGTCCACCTCCAGCCCATGGAGGTCCACGTGGTAGCAGAAATCCATCTGCAGCCCATGAAAGACCCCATGTCAGAGCAGGTGGATGCACAGAAGAAGGCTGTGACCCTGTGGGAAGCCTGTGCTGGAGCAGGCTCCTGGCAGGACCTGTGGAGAGAGGAGCCCATGCTAGAGCGTGTTTACTGGCAGGACTTTTGACTTCATGGGAGACCCATGCTGGAGCAGCCTGTTCCTGAAGGACTGTACTCCACTGGAGGGACCTACACTTGAGCAGTTTGTGAAGAAGTGCAGCCCATGGGAAGGACTTAGGTTGGAGAAGTTTGTGGGAGACCGTCGCCCATAGGAGGAACCCCATGCTGGAGTGGGGTTAGGACTCTTCTCTCTGAGGAGGAAGAAGCAGGAGAAATAACATGTAATGAACTGGCCATAACCCTAATTCCCTGTCTCCCTTCACTGCTATAGGGAATGAAGTAGAGAACAGGGAATAACGTTAAGCCCAGGAAGGAGGGAAATGTGGAGGGAATGTGTTTTAAAGATTTGTTTTACTTCTTATTATCCTGCTCTGATTGGTAATAAATTCTATTAATTTCTCTGAGTTGGGTTTGTTTTGCCCTTAACAGTAGGTGGTGAGCGATCTCTCGCTGTCCTTATCTGAATTCATGAGTCTTTTGTCATACTCTCCCTGTCCAGTTGAGGAGGGGAGTGATAGAGCAGTTTTGGTGAGCACTTGGCATCCAGAGAGGGTCAAACCAACCACAGCTTCCATGCTTTTTCATATTTACATTCCTGTTGCTGCATGATTCTGCTGCTCTTGTCAGGCAGGCAGTGCACTGTGGTGGACTCCTTGCTTTACAACCCATCACTGTTAAAAAGCCAGTCTCCTGGACCATGATAATAAACAGTGTTTGTATTGTATCTTTTCTTTTTTCCTTATGAGTTGAGTGGAGCATTTTGAAATTTACTTCTACAACAGAATTCCTACCTATACTTTTCAGTAATGGTTCAAAATGCAGCCCTTGTGAAGTGCAATACAATGTATTCTAAGGCCTATCTTAGAACAGAATGAAAGTTAGAAAATGACTGAAAACTAAACTTGTGCAGAAAAGGAAATACACAGTTCCAGAAGGGTTTTGAGATTTTGAAATCAAACTTTCTACTAAATCAGAAAAAATGATTGCTTATGATTTTTCCCCAAAGTGATATATTTTGGGTAATTTTTAATATGCCTTTCATAAATTTTGTATTAAATTAATGCCTTTTAATTGTTATACCTTTTAAATATTTCAAAAGTAAGAACAAGTATTTCCAAACCAAAAAGTAAACACTATTCAAAAACTATATCGAAAGTTGAATGTTTTCATAATATCAGAACATATTTAAATTCTGAAAAAAAATTCAACAGATGCAGTAAGAAAATATATAGCAAAGAATAAAAGTTAGGCATTGTAGAAGGCTTATGTAAAATGTAAATGTTTATGCTATTTGATTTTGAACCTTTAAATCTATGATTTTATTAGGGCAACATGAACAACTCAGTAACAGGCTTTTTTTTTCTCCCTCCAAAGGGCACAGTGGTAAAATATCAACGGTACACAGAGAGGGCACAAATGTTATTCCAGTTATAAATAAGTGGTTAAATACCAGCATGCATTCTTATTTCAAATATTAAGATGTGCTTATTTTGCCATAAATAATATTAGCTTCAACTCTGATGGTATCTTGAATATCTTCCTTTGAACTATGAGGTCATGACGTTTCTGGAAACACTTATATTTAACAAGAAAACATTTATGTTTTTAACCTCTGCTAGTCTTCCCATTCTGACCCATGAGAAGCTTTCTGGAATAAGTATTTTTGTACAATGCTATTTAAAGAGGATTACAACTTGGTTTTACTGTTGTGAACCGTGTATGCTCATGACTATCATATATCATTTTGAGCATTATATCATAGCCATGTGGAAATTATCAGTGGATCACATAACCTTCAGAAGTCATCTATAAAAGGGCATCTGTAATTTCTACAAATATTTTTAAAAGTATATAACTCTTCTCACTGGATTTCATAAAATAAGCACTCATATAAAAAGTAAATATGAATATATTTTTAATAGCTTTTTAAAAAGATATCTTTACCTGTGACAAAGTGCAAGAGATTAGAGTATCCTGCTAAACTATATTGTTAACATGCATCACTAGCTAAATGATAGCATTTTAAACAAATATTTCAAATGTACCTGGGGGACACCCCTATCAAGGACATCATCACTGACCTTTGGAAGGTATTTAAGAGTAATGGATGAATTCTGTAAGACAGATATTTATGAATATATATTGTAATACAGTTACCTGAGGGACTATTAGATTTCATTATACCTTTTTATTTGTAAGCATTCTGGAAGGTTTTAAGGTGTAGCATTTATCTCATGGCTGACATTAGATTATCTGAAATCTGCCCTGTGTGTCTTTACAAAATTTTTACAAAAATGTTGTATTTTCTCAAAATAAACCCAACAATCTGTGTATCACATTTTTTAAAAAGTACAATTGGGGGTGGGGGGGAATACCACTTTACACACTTGCGACAGAATAAACCTGTCTAATATCAACAAAATGGAACATCACAAGTATTTTTATAGTTCCTTTTCATTTTCTTTTTACTTTCATAAATTAAAGATAGCCAGAAATTTTTTACAGTACAAACATAAGGTCATGTGAAAGTACAGAGGAATTGTTGTTTTGATTTCTTAGCTGATTCTGCAAACTAAGGGCTGGTATGGCAATTCCTTCTCCAAAATTGTCTATTACACCTTTTATAATTTTATTACATATTTTGATAATGTGCATTTGCATATTAACTTGAAAAGTTCTATATTTGAGAAGAAGGAGGATTTACAAACCTATAAACCAGATTGTTAAGCTGAAATGACATACATGGTTTTCTTTGTCCATAATGCCTTCCCCATAATTTTTACCCATATAGATTGCTTCCAGGTGTGCATTACAAATCCAATTAGGGATCAGCGAGAAAATTTCAGAAAATTATTCCCTGAAACCTTGTATCTTACCTTACATCTGGTTGTGCCATATGCGGTTCATTGCTTTTCAACACCATTTTCAGGAAGAATTTAGTAGACAAAACACTGAAGTGTAAGGATAAGACCAGTAAATTTAAAAGCATAATAAATTTAAAAGAGTTTGGGTATCTGCAAACTTTTTTATTTTTTATTGGAGTTAGAACAGTTCTATATGTCTGTCTAATTCAGAGTTATTTTGGGGTTTTTGATCTTTGAGATATTTAGAAATATTGTTTCATAAAATATTACATAAATTGTGATAGTTCATCTTTGTTGTTATCTTGATTTTTTTGTTTTGTTTTGTTATTCCACTGTGTAAGTTTGAAGCAGAGCTGAATGAAAAATGCTTTTTTCTGCTGTGTTGGTTTGTTTGTTTTTATGGAATAAACTCGTGTTATCTTTTTTTTTTCCATTGACAAGAAACTGCAATTTAAATTGAACAAACCAGAAAGCTCTGTCTAAATTAGCATTGCAAGATCTCAGTGTTTAAGTACATTCTAAATTCTAGTGTTCTAGAATTCCGCACAACTCTGAAATAAGTGTTTTTCATAATTACTTTAAATTCTATCCTGATATGAAGTAGTGAAAGAGTTACTCTGAAAATTATTTTAACAGTATACAAATTATATATCAGGCTTACAGAAAGCCCAGTATTTTGTCAAAAATACTTATGGAGTCGATATGTTTTGGATATTCCATGTATGCTGATGTTTACTTTAATTCTTACAAAATATCTTAGATGAAACAATGACTTACTTGATTTCAGGAGCTGATGCTGTGGAGGCTCAGTGTAAGAGATTTGAAGTGAGAGCAAGTGAAGGTGGAAGAGTATTGTTTTCTGCAGATGAAGATGAGATTGTCATTGGAGCTGACAGACTGAAAGTAACAGGTATGGTAATGATAAAGTGTCTAAAGGGATGTAAACATTATATTTTTTAAATATTTTTAATAATAATTAAACAACTAGTCTTCTACAAAATTTTAATCCCTTGTAGAGGAAAAATTCTTCTCATCATCAGTAATTGCTTGACCAAGGAAAAGATGCTGCATAATCTAAAAATCAATTTCTTTAAAGGCAGAAATGAATTTAAATTCTGCAGGATCAGCTGTGGTACAAATCACACTTACCATTGTGGTTTGGCTTTTATATGTTACCATTAAGCATTGTTTTGTAGTACCTATGCCATTTGTTTAATAAAAACTTTTGTCATATACTATGACCTTTGTTTATATTGTATACAGAGTATCAAGTCAAACTTCCAGATGAATTAACAGTATGTACTCTGCTTTACTTCATGAGGCTCAGCTGAACCATTGTAAATAGAAATCTTGTCTTGACTTGAACATTTGTTCAAGAAAGTAAGAAAGTAAAAAAAATATATGTCATTGCTAGGTAAATATATATATATATATAAGTAAGTAATTTGATATTACTGTTATGGATTCACCCCAGCTGGCAACTAAGCCTCACATAGCCACTCACTCCCTCACCAGTGGGGATGGGGGAGAGAATTGTAAGAGTGAAATTAAAAATACATAAAGGTTGAGATAAAGACAGTTCACCAACTGGTAAAGCAAAAGTCACGTGTGCAAGCAAAGTGAAAGAAGGAAATCATTCACTTCTTTCCATGGGCAGTCAGCTGTTCATCCATCCCTAGGAAAGCAGGATCCATCATGTGTACTGTAAAAAAAGAGAATCATACTGAATCCTGCTAAGGTTCAAACTCAGTCATAATATTAAATGCTGATAAATTTATATTCTTAAATATAAAATTGACTCAAGAGATTTCAAAGTATATATCAGAAGGTGAAAAAACATCTTACAAATGGCACTCAGAATTAGATTTCCTGCCACTGAGAAATGTGAATATAAGTTTGAGATGTCATGGTAATTATTTTTTAATCAAACGTTTTGCACCATGAGTAGTATTATTGTCCAAAGATTCTGTGATACCTTTAAATTCTCCAGCAAACACGTGAAAAATTGTGAGTCCCTGTAAGCTGCATCAATCAGACTGCATTACTTCACGTGATATGATATGGCTGATGAAACCTGGCAGGACATCATAATGTCAAACATCAACCAGAATTTTTTTCTGTGGTTTATTTTTCTCAGTTGTGTGTTTTGATTATCATGGTGCCTTTGGGGTGAATGTAGGAAAGGAATCATTGAAGAACAAATAAAACAAAAATTGAATATCAAAAAGCAAATATAAGCTGTGCTTATTTGGAAATTAAACTCTCACATGTAGTTATTTAAGTGTGATACTACAATGAAATGATTTTATTTTCTTCTGTAGCAATTATTGCACCTCTTTGGAAACACTTAACTCTGAAGAGATCAAATAAATGTTTCATTTGGTAATAATTTTCTAAAGTATGGCCATTTCATGGGCATTTTTAAACTTCTATGGCATTGTGGAGTTTTTTGTATATGACTTTTTTCATTTTAGAGGAATAAACATATTTTTTAAAAAAATTATCATAAGACAGTCTAAGAAATTTTTGATTGATAAAAACTTGTTAGATTTAGTGGAGAGCTTTTCACTGATTATTTTTATAACATTTTTATTTGTAAATTTTTATATAGATAGCCTATTTTAGGGAGAAAGGCATAGTAGAAACAATGTAGTAATCCAGATATCAATTTATTTACCAGATAAGAAATATATGGAATCAATAGTACTATTTCCCTATTAAGAGTCTGTCACTTTAAATTAGGCAGTTGGACTGATTTAATTTAAAATACTTATTACTCCTTCCATTGTAACTTTATTTTATTTGTTTAACTGTGTTAGCTCTTTTTTACTTTATTATTCAAGGCAAGAAGAAAAATAGATTTAACTTTTTGCTTTTTTAGACAGACCTGTTAGAATTGCAGCTGACTCTTGCCCCTTTGAGCAGAGATGCTTCCTGCTACCAGGTTCAATGTGTATCACAGAGTTTTGTAGGGAGCGAAGAGAAAGGCTTGATGAATTGAACATACTATTGAAGAACTGGGAAATAAGCAGGAATAAGGAGCTGATTTTCTGGTGGGCTCACAAGTTCCTTTCTGCACATGGTTAAACCTTTCCCCATCCCTTATATTCATCCTGTCCTAGTGAATGGACAGCATCTGTAGTATCACAGAGTTTCCTTCTCTCTCTATGGTTTTTGAAGGAGAAGAGACAGCAATTTAATTCTCATATTGTCTCCTACATGTTCCTCTGATCTATACATCTCCATCACTTTTCTATAGCGTTCTTTATTTAACCATGATTTCATTTCTGACCCTATTTCTGAGATGCATAAAAACTATACTGTAACTTGTTCTGCTACAGGTTTTACATGACTGCTAAATCAGTTGCACTTTTAAATGTGGCTTTTCATGTTTATTAATCATGTTTAAAAAAAGGCAAAGTAAAAATGGATTTGCAAATTAAATAAGTCTTCCATCAGAAACTATTGCTGCTCTGCAGTCAAATTCAATTATGTTTTCTAGATATAGAAAATAAGATGTGTCACTTTTTCTAAATAACCCAGTCTAAATTGTTTGGAAAATATTACTCACTTTTATGGAGAACTAATTTGTTTTGTTCCCTATTACTTTCTTAAATGTTGACTTATTTTCTTTCATCCCAGACATGCTACATGTCTGGGCACAGGACCTAAAATCCTTTCCAGATAGAACTGAATTTTGTTATAATGATAATTAATATGTCAGCAATAATATTTTCCCTCTAAAAATAAGTAAGAAGCTACTTAGAAACTTGTCAGTTATCATTTTACCAAGATTTTAGTAATAGTTCTATAGAGTTCAACTGCTTCCATAATTTTTAAAACACAAAACTTTTCAGATACATGGGGTTCCATGTCTGTATTATATGACCTCATATAATTAGTTGAAGACCACTTTGTTTCCATATTTCAAACATAAAAATAGACCTCATTACTGGAAGTGCAATTGTACTAAGGTTTGCATACTGTTGCCAGCAGTGGTAGGAGAAACAAAAAGAAGAGGCATAAAAAAACTTGCAGATTATTACGACTTCCTAAGAACCTCCTTCCTTGCCAAATAACACGGCTAAGTAGAAAAATGGAAGTCGGAAAAGGACAGCATACTTCAGTTGTAATGGAAACTTTCTCGGATTAATAGCAGGATGTGTATAGGTCAAATCTAATTTGACACCAGAACAGTGTCAGGAAAAAATATGTGAAGAGCTGCAAGTATATTTTTCATTACACCAAAGTATATGCTTACAGTGGGTTCAGTATGGCTTTTGATCAGTCATTAACTTCACTAGATGAAAAATGAGAGCCTTGATGTATCAAGGAAACATCAGAAGATACATACACACTTATAATTTGATAATCAAAATTAATATGCAGAGAAGTACATTGATACTTCAGTTTTGATTTAAAGATTATGATGCAGGACTGTGAGTCTGCAGGTAATTGAAATATAGAAAGGTCTTCCAGAGTAGTTAAAAGGAAATGATAAAATAGAAATATGGCTTATGGCTATAAAAAGGAAATATGACAGAAATATGAGGAAATATACGTGAATTGCAAATTAGGTTGGAAAAGTAGAAATAAAATATTTATAACAAGTACTGAAATGTAGAAAAATAAATTATTATTTTATGTATGTTGTTATTACAGTAGCTGTATATCTAATGCATTCGGAGACTGAATAGTTATTTCAGTATGAATGGGAAAGAAGACCTTGGATTTGCCGTGTTCAGTTGGTGGATTGTCATTCAGGACAGATGGAGTTTGGAGAGTGAAGTGGCACAAGATGAAGGGAAACACTTAATCACTTTAAGCTGGCTTATGCAGCCAAATTATCTGACCACAGTAAAACTGCTGTATTTGATGTTGTTCTAAAAAGTTAATCCTTTAAGTAGATAGGCCAGATTCTCAGTATCCTGGACACTGGACGAACTGGAATTCTTTTGTCATCATCTTTCAGTAAAAAAATGCATCACACATAAAGGACTTCTGTGTTTTCTCAGTAATGTCTACATTAATATGTACTGCAAAATGTACTGGATGAATAAGGTTTCTGATAAGCTTATTTAGATCTTAAGAAAGCACTCAATGTCCAGACTTGTCTGTATGAGAGCTCTGATTGGAATATATTATTGTGGTAATCTAATCAGCTGGCAACAGAACAACCTGTGAGGGCATTACTCTGGAGGTACAACTACAGAGCTGATTACAATCATATGTATGTGGGCTCCAAGCTGTCTATGAACTGAAAAATTTATAGGCAGTCTCAGTGGTGAGACTAAATAAATAAATTTCTTATCCAGGACATTGCATAAATAGATTTATGTTTTCTAGTTAAGAGTAGAATTCACCCAGCCAGCTCTGACTCCAGGCAGTGTGTACTTACACCATCCTGCAGGTGATGGTGGAGATTGCTGGAAGACTAAATTGACCTGAGCATAATAACAACTAATTTGCAAAAGAAAGATTTTGATTTTTGGCACTTGAACAAAAACATGCCAAGGAACAGAAGAATTGGTCTCAGGAATGTATGTAAAGGGAAATAAGCCCTGGTAACATAATTTTTTTTTTTTTTTAAGTAATAAACCTAAAGGCAGACAGATATGCAAACAGTTGTGTCAGCCCAGAAAAACATGCTCAATTTCTTACAGCCATTTCACTGAAAAATACTCATCTATGCTGTTCTGTAGACAGAGACATATAAGGAGACAGCATATAGTCAGACAGAAGAAAGGAAAAGAAAGGGAAAAAACCCAAACCCAGCAAAATTATACTCTTTTGATGTGTAGGTAGAGGAAAATCATCCTCTACCTAGAGAGTCAACCTTTCTATAATCCATGTTTTATGAATACCTCTCCTTAAATAATCAACTTCTTTTTTTTCTTCCTTTTTTCATGA